GAGGTGGGAGCCACATGGTTCTCTGTGGAGGTGGGAGCCACATTGTTCTCTGGGGAGGTGGGAGCCACATTGTTCTCTGTGGAGGTGGGAGCCACATTGTTCTCTGTGGAGGTGGGAGCCACATTGTTCTCTGTGGAGGTGGGAGCCACATTGTTCTCAGCAGAGGTGGGAGCCACATTGTGTTCCTTAGAGGTGGGAGTCACATTGTGCTCTGCAGAGGTGGGAGCCACATTGTGCTCTGCGGAGGTGGGAGTCACATTGTGCTCCGCGGGGGTAGAGTTGGAGCGCAAGCTGTTACATTCATTGTCGTCTTTCTCCACTGCCATCTTGTCGTCTGCAAGTGACAAATCATAAAAAATTGTGATAGACATCACAGGCAAACATTCTGTGTACAAAAAAGAATGGAGGAAAGGTTCTTGAATAGATTAGTGAAATTACATGTTTTTATGTTTCCAAAAGCAAAATAACCACGTCTCCAAAATGAAAAAATCTTCCAATTGTATTTTTTTTAAAAAGTCTGTTGCAGCCCATAATAACAAAACAATAAGGGGCTTATTCACAAAACTGCCGAAGGCAGCCGAGTGAATAACCGAGCGGAAGTGAAGTGAGCTGAACGCTGTTCGGCTATTCACCTCAGGCTTGTACGGCTAATTTCACCCATACATCGGCTAAAATCAGCCGTACATCCGCTGCCTTCAGTCAACTGAACATGCTCTGCATGTTTGGCTGAGCCGAAGTGCAGAAGGAATTCGACTCAGCCGACCCAACACCTAGATTGTCTGAGACGAAGCTCCGGCAGCTCACTCGCTGCCGTTCGCCCGTATTCTCATAGGGGCCGAACGGCAGTAAGTGAATAGCTGAATGCCGCCAAGCTGACGCGACCCCACGTGACCAACTCCAGACACATAATGAAGCATCTGACAGATGCTGGCAAAAGAAAAACAATTGGGTGGAACTAGCAGTGACATCACCGCTAACTCCGCTCACTGCTAGCAGTGACATCACCGCTAGCTCCGCCCCGTTGTAATGCCAGATCAGCATCCCCAAATGACCTGGGGACGCTGATCTGTCATTAAACAATAACAATTGGGCGGAGCCGGCCGTGATATCACGGCCGGCTCCCCCCAGTTGCTATTCATTGGCCGGGACCTGCTAGAACACTCTGGCAGG